TGTCAGTGTCAGATTTGATTCTGATAAGAAAAGAACTGAGAGACTGAGTTCGTTTTTTAAACACAGTTTCGATATAGTGATCCTTTTTTGAAATTCAATTCAAGATCAAATATATTTTAGGAGGTTTCCGGAACATATTTTTCTGACGTTACAAACATAGTTAGCAAATCTAATATAATTCTGTAGAGTTTCTATAAAACAACCTGTTGCATAACATAGGCTCTTAATTTGAATCACTGCTGTCTGGCTTCTTGTTTATCTTTCGTAAACGTGGGCAGGGGGAGGTTAATAAACTCATATTGACATTAGCTTGGCCTCGTTTAACTTTTGAGAATGATTAATGAAAAAAAAAACTTTAGATAATTGCATGCGACAGAGCACCGTAAAAGCGTCTACCATTATTTATATAACAGAATATCTAATAGATCAGCAGTCATTTATTTAGCTATCCGTTACTAAAACTTGTTGTTTACTTTTCTCAAACATATAAATAGTAAATATAGTAATTCAATAATGAAAAAATTTTTTATATATATATCGCGTTCTTCGTTTTTTTAAACCGCACTTTTTTTGCGGTTAAGCATATCAATTCGTTCATTTGGTAAGACTGACAATATCAGCTTTAAAAATTTAAATGGAAACACGTGACTCTTGCTTGCTTGCTTTATTTCTAAACTAAAGTGTTAAACTTGAATTGCATATCTGCCTACGCTTCACCACATCATACATAGAAGTCTTGAATAAGTTATAAATGATAAAATAGAATTCATTGTTTGCGGATGAAGTTTTTAGGAATGTGAAGATGACATCGATGATAACTCACGAATTTATATAACCGATGGTTAGAAGGGCTTTAGTATCGGTCTCTTGAAGATTTCCATATATAGAAAATTATTCTTGAACATAGGTCGATATTAGAAATTTTTGTAAAACACAAATTCAAGAAAAGATTAAAACGAAAGTTTGCTTGTGACCTTCACAAAATTTAATAAAACTGTACATTAATTTTTAACGCGGACGCGGAAATCAATCTTTGAAAATATACTCATAAAAGAACAGTTGTTGTACCTGTCAATAGGTTTATACCTATAAAATGGGTAGGTTTGTTTACTGATACTCGACGGAGAAGAGAGCATTTTGATAGTTGTTGACGAGCACGATTTGTTTTTGTATCCAATATGTAACGATAAAATATGGATACGTTGACACACATTCTCATCGACGTCATTAAAAAGGTCAAACAAGCAATAAATTCCGGAATATATTTTTAAAATCTCTATAACCTCACTCTAGCGAGAGCAGAAAAAGATGAAGAAAACTATTTGAAATCATGAAAAAAGTGCTAAAGCCTTAAAAAGCAGATTTCCTGGATGGAAGTTACCGTATTTTTCGGACTTTAAGATGCAAGCTTTTTACATCGAAAAATGGATTCAAACCTTGGGTGCATCTTATGACCCGATGGTAACATTATTAAATTTTTTTTTTTGATAAACTGTCTCTACCTTTGAGGTTTGAAAGGAGCGCCACCAATTATTCAGACGAAAGTAAAAGGAACGGTAACATTAACGAGACGAGTGATAGCACCGAGGCTAAAGCTGAATTGAATATCTCTGGTACGAGTTATGTTAACAATGAATAAAAATCTTGATTTCAAAGTTATATTAAAACATATTTTTCTAAAAATCATCTTATCAATTTGAGGGGCGTCAATAATATTCAAAATACCAAAGCCATAGTCATGCAAACTTTTACATTTAGTTTCTGTGTTCCTTAGTGAAAATATTTAAAAGCAAGTTGATGCGTATTGATGAGAACACCTAGATAAATGACTTACTTGTTCCACCCGACTACAATCTGCCTCACTTTCTGGTAGAACCTCTTAACCTCTTAAAGTGGACTTTAAAAGAAATCGAGCACCCTCTCCACGGCGATGGAGGAATAAGTAAAATAAAAACCTATAGACAGCGCGATAATAATAAAATGTATTTAAGAACAAATCAAACGAAAATAAAATTAAATAAAGGACGCAAATATTTGTAAAGAACACTGGTATGACAGACTTTGTAAAAAAAAAAAACCACTTGAAAAAATTTTATATCTGAAAATGTAAAAAATCGATTTCCACATAGTTTAAATGCTGAAGATTAAAAGCAAGCCTGCCAACAGGTTATATGCTTACACGCGTGCTTGATGCCCCCCTCCCCCCTCGAACACCTTCCTTCGAAACAAAACTTTATTACCGATAAAATTGTTAAAATTATGAACTTAAAAGCATAATTATTTCTTATTATCTATGCACTAAGCTTTCCGAAATCATTGGCACCCAATGGCAGCCAGGCGGCTGCGAGTGAACGAACAGGTTGTTGACAGCATTTAGTTAACCAAAGCCCAAAAAGAAAGAAAGATGATCGATCCTCAGCTGCTTTCGCTTTTGGTAATTATGGAATTTTTTCGTTCGTTAATAAGTGAAACTTGTTGCTTAGTTACGTGAAAAAATTAGGAGAAAAACAACAAATATTCATTCCATTATCACATCTTTTGCAATTTTTTTTTTCTTTCTTTTTGCTACGGTTCATAGTATAAATAGCTGGTTTTATGACCGCTTGATGCAATTCCGGTCCCCGTATACTTGTTTGCTATTAATTTTGTTTACAAAGAGACGCGAAGATGAGCACAACAATAAAACGTGACAATGAATGTGTCGAAACACATATAACCAATAACGAGAAATATGCGGAGAGGACTTCCTTGTACTGATCGATTGTCAAAATGTATAAAACGAAACGTGATGGTTTAGCTTTTCTGACTATGTGAACATTAAATTATTTTATTTTAACGGTAAATACTGTTAATTAGAAGGCAGGAATTATCTCCTTTGCTTATGAACTAAAACGATGGCAGAAGATTCCGTAATCAGTTCAATATAAAATTTGACAAAGCATCGCTTGGTTTATTATGCTCTTTGCGAATGATTAAACATCTTATGTTGCTTTCCTAAAATACCGCCAAAAAAATAGAATGTAGAATACGGTCACGGACTTTTGAATATCATCATATTTCAAAGGATTTTTGAAAATATATATATATTAAGATTATTTATTACATATTTCAAATTTAAATAATTTAAACTAAACTTAAAGGAATTGAAAAACATTAATGAAATAAAAAATGCAGACAATAAGACACGCGGTCGTAACGAAATAAAAATTGCTAAGGCAAGGAGGAAGGAAATAGCATGAAATTTTCATTTGAAAACAAGTGAAACCACTGCTATGAGTGGCCGCGGCCCACACCCCTGCGTTTAATATAGTCCCTCATATAACGACTCATATGGGACATGGTCGGAAAACTGGTCCAATCCAAACCATTTTCAACAGGGTTCGTCATTGGGCTACAGCATATCATTGTACCAAATTCAACATACCTTACTAAAATACCAGAAAACAAAGTGGACCGACGGACAGACATGCTTAAATCGATTCAGAAGATCGGTATAATAAAGCCTGTGTGCACCTCAATTCCGTCTGGGCGTTGCATACTTCCTCACTTAGTATACCCTTGTATCACAAGTAGTGTAAGGTATAAAAGTTAAGATGAAGCAGGTAAGAATAAAAACATTCACTTTTTTATTTGGAATTTCTCATCCAACATTTTAAGAGCTCTCCCACTTGGGCGTCCGAAGAGCTCTTGACTTGTTTACAATACGAAGCTAACTTTTCAAAATCGTTTAACGGGTTTAAGGTCGCCACGGGGTAGTATCCTACTTAAATAATGCGCCTAAGTTTTAATTATGCTCTATTTATGATAATTTACAGAACAGACATTTTTGTATGTCCCTATATCGATAAAATGATAAAAACGAAAAAATAACACGAGCGATTAGCTTGCTACTAAACGAAAGAAAAATTCCTTAATAATTTATATACCACTATAGATTAATAGAGTAAAATGATAAAAGGAATTTAAAGGTCATTATTGTGGTGGAAGACATAAAAATATTCTGAGGAATCATTTCAAAGTAAAAAAATGAAATTTTCACATTAAATGCCTGGAATGAAAAAATAAAACATAACAAATATATATATAAAGCATTGATATATAGAAAAATTATAATAAGACATTTAAGCATACGTATGTATGTAAGTATATACAATTGAATTCAAGTGTACGGGAATCATTGTCTTCGATTCAATGGATGTAATTGTTGTGGCTGCTCTTACAGCAAAGTTGTTTCTTTTCTCTTATTTGTGCTCGACGAAGCGATACAATTTTATTAATCCGTTGTGTAACACCCCGAAACAGCAAGCTGAACCTTTATGAATTCGTCATCAAGACGAGTTGATTGATTTATAGCTCTATCGATCTGCTTATTATGAGTGTGTTTTCAAATTTCGAAAACTTGAAATAGGAACTGAAGCGAAGAGTTTAGATCGACATAACACGCAAGCAGAACGGGCTCAATAGAATCGAGCAAACCGATAGCATTTGATTCGTTCATACCCCGATTGTCAATAAAACAAATATTTATCTTATGCTTTGCGGACCTATACGCACCACTGTGCTACCAGTTTTTATTGTTATTATTATTAAACAATTTTTTTTTACATTAAATTGAAGAGAGTAGACTTTGATTGTTGTGTTATAAAACATTACTCCAATTTCTTTAATAACTGTAATTGTTGTCTTTTATGCATTCAAACAACTCAAATAAATAAATTATAGGAAAGCATTCACACTTATAACTATACACAGTATATACAGCAAGTAAGTACTACGTTAAACATTCATCTTAAAGAAGTAGAGAAAAAAAAATAGAAAAATTCTTTTTCGCAAAATTCATATAGAATAATGTAACACGAGAAGAACAAACACATAGTGAAATACGAAAAGAAAAAAGGAAAAAGTCTTTGAAAAACAAAAAGAAAAAGAAATCACATTTCATCTCATATCAACATTCAGAGGAAGAGAATAAGAAGAGAAAAGTGTTAGAGAAACTTTACCCCATAATTACTGCATCGCTGTTTTAATGGATATTTCATCTGTTCCGTGACGACATTGAAGTTTCACACAGAAAGAAAGAGAGAAAACATTTTTGCTTTTTTTTAATATAAAAGAAAATAATTGTTATAAAAAATTTTAAGATAATTGCTATTATTCCTATTAAAAAAGACGTAATAAAGCATTGTAAGTTAAATTTATTATTTTATTTATATATATATTTATATATATGTATATATATATACATATTTACATATTTATTTACGCATATATTTTTGATGCTATATGCACCACCGCAGCACAAAGGTGTACTAGATTTGTTCGCCAATATGCGAGCTCTATAAGTACACCTCAGAAACTCTACCTTAAAGGTCTGAGGCATTTCAATCTGACCATTTGTCGACTCGGGCGGCCATCAGCATGTTACGGTCGCTTCTAATTGGACTCATTAGCTTTTAGAATCACGTGCTTTTACATTCAGTGTGGACATCAAATTGGTTTTGTTCTTCCACTTAAAACATCCATACACCCCATAAAGTATATGGGTTTTGGATTAATGTAGGAATCTCACATGCTGTCACGCTGCTTCACATCCGTAGGCTATTCAGTCTATATTCAATATTCAGACACAATGTACTCCTATTCTGTGAATCAGAATTTTTGAAAATTTCTTTTTCGGAATGAAAAGAAAATTTAATTATATGATTACATAAGAATCAGAAATCAGAAAACAATGGGTGAAAATTGTCTTACACTTCGGAAATGTCGAAGAAAAGCACTTTTTAAAACCGCATCAAAAAATTTTAAAGGAAAACAGGAAGAAGGAAAACACATAAATTTTTTGCTTTAGAAAGCAGACGTGTTCTCAGGTCATGTGCATTGTTGTGGGCGTGTTCTTCGACCGATTTGGCTCAGTTTGAATATCAACCTGCTTGCAATAACTTCCTATGTTTCTGCCAAATTTGAGAGTCTTTACCGCACATATTACGCAGACAAGCGGACAGACAGACAGACAGACACGATTAAATTAATGCAGGAGCTGTTATTGCTCAAGAAAGAAGCCTTAAAGTTTGCTTCTGTGCGTTGCAAACCAGTTAACAAAATGAATATATTCTTCCTGTATCGGTGGTCGGTATAAAAAGTGAATTTCTTGAACTCAAGCCAAAATATTATGAAATATTTGGAACGCTGGAGAAAAGAGAATGCACGAAATGTAGTAAAAAGTAAAACTAAATACAACTATATGCCTATGTATCATAAACATCTTTGTTTCTTTTTTTTGTGATTCTCTTAAGTTGACAACCTTACCTTGTAAAAAGAATTAGTATTGAAGAGTTTAAGTATGATGATGACTATGGGATCCCAAATTTAGTAAAGAATCACAAAACTTGTAACATGAAAACACGTTGTTGTCTCTTTTGATCAGTGATCGGTTACAAGCCCAGGACACGACTGTTAGTCTACGAAAAGTAAGGATTCTTCCTAAGAGATAACAACTTTGCCACTAAAAATAATGTTTACATAATACTTTTATACTTTTTCCAAACTGATTTGATCCAATGAATTTCTCATTACATATGTATGATTTTAATCAGTTGATTTTGATTAGATATCTGTCTGAAAAGAAGAAGAATTGCTGAAGAATTTTGAAAGCTTCCGATCGCCAATGCCTACGCAATAGAATAGGAACCTAGAATAATCTCGGGATGAATGCCACGTTTCACTTTTCTACACCCACCCGTCTTTCAAACAAAAAGACAAAAAGCTAAGCACAAAAAGGCAGCGTGCAGCGTGCAGCGGGTAGTGAAACTATGTTGATATGAATGCGTTTACGCATATATACATTTATAGATTTGTGTACGTACATATTTATAGACATCTACTTTCAAATTAATGAAGTGAAACACAAAAATTTCATTTGATTTAAATTTGTGCAGTCACACAACTTGCATTATCTCTGCATATCACACGACAAGGCGTGCGTGCATATAGTCATAACGATGGATGCTATTTGTATTTATATATCACATTTACCGTTATGCACAATATACATTTTATACGCCCCAAGATTATTAAGAATACAATTTGTTATAAAATTTATTTTTGTTTTTATGCACAGCACTGTAAGATGGGGGTATAATTATTTTGTTTTTCTTCATAATATATGTAGCATCCAAAGGGAAACTTCAGAGATCCTGTAGAGTATAAACAGTACTGATCAGCGCGAAATTCCGAATTGATTTAGCTAAGCCTATCCGTCCGTGTGCCAGTGTGATGCGTGTTGTTGGCACTCCCTCTCACTAAACTAAGGGTGAATTTGCAAGGCAAGGAGAACCAACTGAACGTTTTGCATCCAGTCAATGCCTAGTTCCATAGCGATGTCATAAGATGAACGGTATCTTCCTCAATCCTTTACCAACTATTAGTAGATCAGATGATAACGTGTCTTTGACATTTTTGCCACTACAGTAGCGTGAATGTTTTCAAAAGACTGCGCAGCATAATCGCCTTTGCGGAAGTGATGTGTAAAGTTTCTTCGGAACTTTGACTCATTCTCTCTAGTGAAGTAACAATCGTCACAAATTTTTTTTTTAATTATCTATGTACCGTTACCTTTTATAGTATGGTATGGCTTGTTGGCTACATGCCGCTAAACTCTTCTGTTGGGAAAAGCGCTATATCAATCTTGCTGAAAGACCGGAAAGCTTAGCGCCTAGACTAGACTAGAACGCCAAATAAAATTCTTTCCAGTTTTTTATAATCGATTAAAGATAAAAACTTCTTTATAGCGCTTTTTTAACGAAAGTCCTTGAACTACATTCGTGTAAAAGTTTTGTCAGTAGAAGACAAAATACATTTCTATGCTTGGTTGCCTGCTTTCTACTGTTTTGACAATGACCTCATTATACCTTTATAAGCAATGCTTGCTAGTGTGTAATCACTTCATACATAATTTTCCAGTATGTGTTTATTAAAGTTTTGCACTGAACATTGTGCACTGTCATAGATACTTAATACATCTATGAAAACATTGAAAATATATGTATATATATATATATATATGTATATATATATATAAATATTTAATCAGTAAACTCTTAAATGAAGAATTTATTGACAACATCCAGTTAGTAATGTCAGACAAAGTATATAAAGCTCTGCAAATATAATGCTTTCAGCTTTGCATTTCAGTTTTTGTGACTCCCAGGGCCTCGGTATCAAGAAAAATGGCGGCAGTTGAATCAAACTTTAATCAATTTTATGCACATTGCAGTAGTCCCGTTGTGTATTTTTATAGAAATAAGCAGCTTCGATAAAAGCGAATCTTTTTAAAAATATATTTTGAGTCACATCCGCCTTCCAATGCTTATCATCGTATTTTATGCATTTTTTTCAAGTATACAGCCATGTGCATATAAACAGCACTACAGTACACCATGAGAATCAACATAAAAAAAAGTTTTTCAACATTTTACGAAAGAAAGAGTGGAAAAAATATTCTTTATTATTGTTATTGCTATTAACATGGAATTGTTGGGAAAGTAGTTTCGTTTCGTCCCAGTAGAGAACTTCATAATATTTTGTCACAGCGAACTTCACACTTAAGCCGCATAATCATTATAAATTTTAACAGCTAGCTGCTTGTGAAAAAATTCGATTGATTTTACGAGATAGTTTTCGGTTGGAGCCCTTTCATGTACGGAATATGAAAAGCAGCGTTTTCGGCTTATTTCACTTTTCGATTATCGAAAAGATGCTGTTCAAGCAGAGGAACAATTCTTCGATGTGCATAAAGAAGATATATTGACGGAGCGTTAGTACCACAACTGGTTTGCAAGCCTTTCATCCGGTAATTTCAATCAAATGACGATGCATCACCTTCCGCAAACCCAGTTGAGGACGGAATAAAGCCATTAATTAGTACAAACCGGCGAATAACAACTCATGAGATCGCTGAGAGATTAAATTCATCGAATTCGACCGTTCTTGCTAAACTATTCCTATACTGTAAGGAAATCGTCTATCGTTTTCATAAAGAAAAGGAGTTTGCTTTGCGAACAACCTATTATTACAGTTATTAGAGCAAAGAAATAAATTTTATTAGTAAAACAAGGTGAGCACCAGCGACTAAAATTATCCATTCCATTTTTTAAAAATGATACATTAGATGATTGATCCACCGAGTCATTTTATAAATATTATGCTTTTGTTGCAGTTTAAACAAGCGAAAATACTATAATGGGCCAGGGCTTACCATTGCACACCCTACGATCTACACCCTGCAGTGGCTCATGTAATGACTTATCAAAATAAGGGAAATGGTGGAATATGTGCTCCGAACCGAACAATTTCGAATGGATCTTAATACGTCAATGTACCAAATCTCGTCAAAATGTTTGGAAAATTTGCAGCCAGTAGGTTGAACACAAGCAAACAAGATGGACAGACAAGCTTAAATTGATTCAAAACTGGTCGGTATAATAAAAAATGAGTCTACTTCAACTGCTTCTCGACGTTGTATACATCCGCACAAATGTCATATAGCAATGTGCAGCAAATGATGTAGGGTATAAAAATTTTGAATATGACGCAATAAATTCCTTTGCACGTAGGAATATCATAAATTACTCTAGTTATAGAAAAATTCCGTACAAATTATAGTAAATAAACAATTGTCTTTTATGTATTAATTGTTTTAGAATAAAATATTCCAATTGTATATAAGTAGTTAAAAGAATTTTGTATTGGAGTTTTAGTTTAAGTCCATGCTACTCATTTGTGCCCATGGCTATGCATGTTGTAATTTTATATAAGTACGGAAATGAGAGATTTCTACTAATCACCCCCACAGCTTGCTCTTATACTTACATATATACTTACATATATACTGGCCTACAAAAACAACTTGATGCTATTTTGAAGGGAAAAATGCAATAAACAACAAAAAATAACAATCGGTAGAATTTTTACGTTGACTTGCAGTGCTCAGTGCCGAGTATTTCTTATAAATTCGTAAGAGAATTGATATGATATTCTTTTTACTAGTTGTGGGAGTTGAAATTTAAAAATTTGGTTTCATTTCAGGATTTTTAGTCTATCAATATTACTAAAATAAATTTCCAATAAATCTCCAACTGAGTGAATGAATGCACAAAGGATCCCGACTAACAACTCAATGATCGTGGGTTCAAACATCAAGTGCGGTAGAGTTTTTAATAAAGCCGATAGCTTCAGATGCTGGCGCTCTAACAATTTTGGTCTTAGTATTTATTTCTCTGGCTAAATTAAATGTAATAACAATAATAAAAAATAAAATTTTCTATTTACCTATAGTTTAAAGGGATTTATATTTGGTTTACATCAATCCTCTCGGTATCTCCCCTTCATAATTCTATGTTAATGTTCATAGTTAGACAGTTCAAGTAACATGTAATTGAATGCACATACTGGAGGGGAGCGCGCAGACCGGGGATTCTTGTCAGCACATTTCTCCTTAAATTTTTGTTTCTCGGCTACAAACTAACATGGCTAAAATTCATTTACAATTACTAATTGTTCGACCCAAATTTTTACCCTCTACTAAAGCTTAGTGGGCGCTTCGAATTCGTCTTTCGTCATCTTTAGAAAATGTTCCATTAAAATAAGAGACAAATGAAAAAAGTTCGCGGCGGTTACTTTAATAGATGACGTTAGACTCCCTTTTCTATGACAATACTAACACTAATGTTCCTTCAATAAAAAAAAGGATGTGAAGACAAATTCGAATTTAACTTGCAAAGACGCCTACCATATCTGTTAACAAAACTCTGTAAACGGTTTAACAGAGCATTGCTAAATATTTAAAATTACGATAAAGTTGGATTTGAACGCGTACTCCGCCCATATTAAACCACGTAAAATACCTTTGTGGACATCTATATGAAAATGCCTTTGAAACAAGCTAAAGCAATTCAAATTCTGTTTACGGAAACTATTTTTAACAATTTTTTGAAATTTGGTATATAAGCGAAAAATGCGTACGGAAGGACACCAAACTTTGAGTGTCTAGTGCGGCCAAACTAGAAAATGTCACCTATATTCATCTATTTCACGTAAATCTATATAAAAGTATCATCTTAAAAATTTTCTTTATTTAATAAGCTCACGTCGACAAATGCAACAACGTCTCAAAGGCTTGTGGAAAATTTTATAGTGTTTGTGGTGAAGGTGCTGTCCTAAACTCATCCGACTATGTTTTGAACAATTTAATGTTAAAGACGCACAGGGCTTTCGCTATCCAAGCTCTTCATAAAACCGATTACATTTTTTAAAGTTAAAGGGAACCTGCCACATTTTTTGTAACATAACAATGACGAATAAAACTGTAAACCATTTCCCTTTCGACGGATAGAAAAAGGAGCTAGACATTTAGGTACGACAAAAAACTACAGGAAAACGTATAACGGAATTTATTTCGGAGTACCAACGGTGAAAATAAAACTATTGACATCTAGGAAGACTGATACTGGACGATGAAAAGTGAATCGCATAATATGCAAAACAAACCACAATCCAAGATGAATAAAGCTGCACGAATGGTAAGATATGCGGCATCTAAAATAATGCTTTGAACACGGTAAATAGAAAAAAAATCACACATCGTACACCGATCCGATTTGGCCAAACAATACTGTCAACAAATAGTGTGATGAAAGCGCGTAATAAAGCGTCCATGTTTGAGAAAAGCCATTTCCTTACATTAGGCCAAACCCCACACACGAATTTGAGATCTCCAGATCTTGTCCTATCCGAGCACGCTTTGTTTTGTCCTACGCTACACTCTCTTCATGGTGTGAAACTGAAAATGAGCGCATGCTGCTTTTCTCAGATTATTAGTCAACGTGACGCACATTAGATTTAATTAAACCAATATGCTTGAAATTTCTTGAATTTTTCACTTGATCCCATATCAATAACGATAATTGACGAGACTATGAACAACTGACGATTTTTTAGATCTCTTATTAGATGGGCATATGATGTATGAAATTTATTTTCTTTCTCCGTACACTTGGAAATTGTTTGTTCTTGCTACGACTGAACATATACTAATCTTTGTTCTATGGTTTATAGTACTATTCATCTCAATTGGAAGTTGTTATCTCACTAGTTAAAGTTCATGTTACCACATACATTTCTAGCGTATTTTTCTTGAACATCTGTAACTGTTTATCAAATTTACTTCCTTTGCTACTGCAGTAGCAACCGACAAATACTTCAGTAGGTAAGTGCGACTGTCATAACAACCACAAACAAGCAAAACAATTAAAAATCGAGGCAAACGACGGAATTCGATTCTAGTCGAATATTAGATACCTTAACATTTCGGGGTTTAGTGTAATGGTTGCCCAATTATTTGAGTTATCGATTTAAATTATAATGATTAATTGTTATTAGTTAGGGTTAAAAAGTATAGCGAGATCTCAAACGCCCGCCATTTCTGTTACAGCTGGCAAACCAGGCGATCGATCCTACATAAATCGTGAAAGTAAATAGCGCGTCACGTATCATCACGTAAAAACGAAAATCTTAAGTGAGTATGAAAATATTATTCTAAAATATCTAAATTGTTAGAGCGAAAAAATATACACGCACGCACAATCGCAAAGTCGTAAACCACAAAAATGTCCTAAAATGCACTGAAGTGCAACGCAATGTACAATGTAAGAGAATAAAAACTTCAAAAACACACCCTTTTTTTGTTTATATATTAACTGACATTTAATACGAAATTAAGTTTTGTAAAAAATAAATGACAAAAATGTGTTTTTGTTTGCGGAGGGAAATTTTGGACACTTACCAACACTGCACTCTCTCTAACTACTTGCGAAACACTTTCACGCAATTGCGCTGCCATACCCGGCTTATTTAAAGCTCGAGTAAATTTACGTTCCGTCATATTGCGCTTCCAATTATCAAAAAGGAATCTTGTATTAATTTAAAAACAATGCAACTTACTTCTCGAGTACGTTCTAGCACACTTAAAAAACAATCGCCAATTTCTCACATATATTGTCAAATAAATTGAATTGTGTTAAACATATAACCAAGCATTCTTAATAATATTTTGAAGTGCACATTCTTTTGCCCTGTTTGGGGAAGCTACTTAGCTAAAGGTGACGGAATTGTTGTTGTTGCACAAACAAACTGATGAGTAATCCTGTTTTTGCGTTTGAAAGATATTGTGGCAGGAATTTATTCTTGTTCGCTACATTCTGGTTATTATGTACGAATGAACTTTTTATTTAGATACGCATTTAATATTTCAAGGATTATTTTTCCAATTTTTATTTTATCTCTACACTAGAATGATGAGAAACAGAATTTATATTTATGTATTAACTTTGCTTTTTTAGTTAATAATGCCTTTTAATTTTATAAGCCTTAATAATTATTTATATGATTGGTCGAATTCTTTAAAAATTCTTTAATTTCCTTTTTATACAATTGTATTTAGAATCTTCACACACCCACACAAATACTGTCAATTTTTTTGCACTTCCTTTTTTTGTCGAATACATAAACAGTAATTTTTTCCTTGTACGTTCAATTTTAAATTGTTTTATATAAAATTTTCTCACAATATTTTTGTTGTTGTAGAATACTTTGAAACTAATAATAAAAGTGTATGCACATAATTGTAAAAATAAACAATAATAATTGCTAAAATATTCTGCTATTTCATTTAATTAAAATAAAATCTTCAACCCGCCTAATATGCTTGCATAAACGCAAAAACGCAACTAACTGAATTTTTCTCTCTTCTACAAACAATATGCTGAAAAAGTTCGCTATTGATAAGGGTTGCCAAGACCTAAACAGAAATTCTTTATTAACTTGGGGTATTGGATCATTAAAACTTATATGAGATCCAAACTCTGGCAACTCTTCCTGGTGTTTTGGAAGAAATAAATATAATTGACAAAAACATTTACCAGGTTATAATAACTGCAAAATGGACGAAGTTCAAAGGCACAGCGTTCATACTTTAATATTTCGTTCTTTAAAACGTACTCACGATATGTTTGTTTCAAACCAAGGAGCACTACCAGAAATAGACGACAAATTGTAAGTACTTTTATCCGCTATGAGTAAAAATGCCAAAATAGCACCAATCAAAACAAAATGAAAAGTGCGGCACTTTATCAATTTTTATTTGTATTAAATGTGTATTATTTTTTACGAACAGGGAAAAAATACGTAAATCTATTAAAGCACATGACAGCTATAGTTTGGTTTTCGATCGAGTTGCCAGGGCGGAAAGCAATAGAAAATGTGCCGAAATTGCAAACAGTGGTCGTAAAAGTAGTCTCTCTAATCCGGAAAAAGTTCTATATATTACCAATGGCCAAGACAATCCTGTCAACGTCAATACCAATGCCACCATATTGGCGGCTGATACAATAAACAAAAATAATTTTGATATTCCTTCAAGCACGGCGATGGTTGCCATGACTGGTATACGTCCATCTGTAAACAGCACTAGTAATGTTCAACTAATTCCTAAGAAAGCACCTGCAATTCCGAAACCTACCTGGCATGCACCATGGAAGTTAGCGCGTGTTATATCTGGTCATTTAGGTTGGGTTCGCTGCATCGCTGTGGAACCGCAAAACGAATGGTTTGCGACCGGCGCAGGGGATCGTGTAATTAAGATTTGGGATTTGGCTAGTGGAAAACTTAAGCTTTCCCTCACTGGGCATGTAAGCACAGTGAGAGGCTTGGCGGTCAGTACGAAACATCCGTATTTATTTAGTTGCGGAGAAGATAGACAGGTGAAGTGCTGGGATTTAGAATACAATAAAGTTATACGTCATTACCATGGTCATCTTTCGGCCGTTTATTCCATGGCTTTGCACCCTACAATTGACGTTTTAGCTACGTCTGGTCGTGATTCCACAGCGCGAATTTGGGATATGCGCACCAAGGCTAACATACACACATTAACTGGTCACACCAATACTGTGGCGAGTGTAGTGGCTCAAGCCGTAAATCCTCAAATCATAACCGGTTCGCATGATTCCACCATTCGTCTATGGGATTTAGCTGCTGGCAAGAGTGTTTGTACACTTACTAATCACAAGAAATCTGTACGTAGTATTGTTCTACATCCCACTCTGTATATGTTTGCGTCTGCGTCTCCCGATAATATTAAACAGTGGCGTTGCCCAGAAGGCAATTTTATACAAAATATTTCCGGCCACAATGCTATCGTTAATTGTATGGCTGTTAATGCCGACGGCGTTTTAGTTTCCGGCGGTGACAATGGTACTATGTTTTTCTGGGATTGGCGGACGGGATATAATTTTCAACGATTTCAAGCTCCCTTACAACCCGGTTCAATGGATAGCGAAGCCGGTATATTTGCTATGGCTTTCGATCAATCAGGTTCACGTTTAATTACCGCCGAAGCTGATAAGACAATAAAAATTTACAAGGAAGATGAGGAGGCGTCTGAAGACACTCACCCAGTTAATTGGCGTCCAGAAATACTCAAACGTCGTAAATTTTAAAAAATGTATACATATCTATATAAATAAAAATTTATTACAATTTCATTTATATCATAATATATGTCTCCTCATTACAGTAAAAGCATCAATGACCGGCATTTTTTGCTAAGTGATTTTTTTTAAGACAAAAACATGTTTTTGAAAAATACTATGGAGCTATCTTTTCGTGCAGATGTTGCTGCAATTCAAATGCAAAGGAAGCATGACAACTTCGTTATTTCGTCGGGATAATTGCTTTGACCTCTTGAAACTACTTGGAGTATCTTTGTTGTGATGAGTTATACTGTCCTTTTTGCCATGTACATATATCACTTTGTCGCGTCCAAGCAGAGATGCCAGTTTTTCGGCTTTTGCTAAGTACACTTATGAGCAATTTAATGTTTTGACGCTACTGCTAACATTTAAATTAATTTACAATCATATATTAGAATCAGAATAATATGGATGTTTTACAAGCTTTTAAGACCATTCCCAAGTATGTATTAACATTTTGGTAAAATTTCTGCACCAAGCTCAAACCACCTATACCCAATCACTATTAGAAAGATTCGGATGCTTTAAATTTCAAATGCGAACGAATGAATAGGCTCACTTTTGCTCAGCTAACGTTAAACTGTTCGAGGTAATCAAACCGGTACTGCCAAGTGTAAATTGCACTTCAATTGTGTGTACAACGACTAGTTTGATCGTTAACCTTTTTTTATGAGATGGTGCGGTATTGTCGCTATTGTACACGAACATGACAGATGTCGAATATTTAAATTTACTTAGTTTTGTATATTACTATCACTGAGTAAAGGTTTTTGCTAATTTTTATTAAGCAGAACACAGTCAATAAATTATTATTTGGTTTGAATTCCGGACGTGTGAAATATCTCCTTATTTTCTGTTTTTTAATTCCAGTTTTTCGTCTCACTTCCTCTTCTTCTAATTGCATAATTGAAACTTGGCAGCTTTGCCCTCAGCAATTTATTTGACAATTTACTAATCAATCTTTGCCTCGAATTCAAAAAATTTTTGCCTTCTTGGAAATTTTCGCCATCCTGCCTATCTTTGGAATCGCCTCCTTGTAAAGGTAACGTTTTGCAGCTAATTTCTAATAAATTTTAAGACACATTAACTTTAGGTGAAGCAGTGAAAATTGCCGGTTTGATGCAGTTTGACTGAATTAATCGTGTTAACTTGCGTAAATTTTCGGTAAGTCGGATTTATTTGCTTTTTTTAGGGTATACTAAGTCATTTGTTATTAATGAAGTTTGTTAATCGCTTTATAAATATAAGTATGGGAGCGTTTGGTATTTTTAAGTATTTCAGTTGGTTTCTAAATATCCCTTTTTTATACATATATATATATAAAAGGAAAACTTTCTTAAATGATTACTTTGAAATTCAAATATGCTGATTGGAACATGTTTTTTAATTAATTTGTAATTTCTTAGTCTATTGCGATAGCATCCTGGTTTTTTTAGCTAAAACTTTCTCATTGGATTTTGATTCTTCAAAGTAATCGTCCTAGTTAATCAAATTGCGAATGTTAGTTAGCTTTCCTATACTGCCGCAAATAAACTTAGCAATGCCCTCAAGTACATTAAACATCGCAATTCTTCAAAAAAACTCCGAAAGTTCACATCACGAACAATTATGTAGTAAACTTGTAATATTTTCAGAAGGTTGCCGGGATGCATAGAAATGATTGTGTATATCTAAATCTTTATGTGGAAATTGGCTAAATGAAAGAAGAGAATTTGAATTGAAGATGAGAATTTCAAGAATTCTCATACCAAAATAGAAATATTGTCTCTCTCTTTGACTATGCGATGATCTTGAAAAAGATCTTAACGAGAAATATTTTTCATCTCTTAAAAACCAAATTGATGTAAGAATAGTTTCTCTTGGACACGAATATTTTTGATCTTATTGTAAAAAGTTATTGTACTGATAATTATTATTGTATTGTTATTGTATTGTAATTATTGTTAGCTCTGGCAAATCTATCTAAAGGAGAAATATCTCTGAAAAGACTATGTTGTTCCTGTGAACAGAAGAGATCCTCAAATACGCTTCGTTTTCTCTGTAATGTGAGCATTTATGAGAGAGATGTTTGTTTAAGTTCTTAAAACAATTTGAATTTGTCTTGAAAGACTTGACTGAATGCTTAGCGGCATTCGCGATTTTTCAGTTTGAATTGTGAGTTTAAAACGTTAACGCGTTGGTTATTGATGGCGGCGTAACAAACGGATGGTTACATATGAAGTGAAGTGAAGTAATGATGAACATAGTGCTTTCATATCTATAAAAAAATAACACTTTTCCATAGTGTTGTTATTGTTATTGTATTGGAGCGTATTTAATGCTTTAAAAAACAGAAGAAAAAAGGACCCAGGAACGTATGTTATGAATGTGCAGAAAAGATTACAAATGGTGAGCATACTCAACTAATAAAAAATTGAATTCAGGCACAAGAAATTTTGTTAAAATTAAATATATATACGTATGTCACAAGTGAAGTTTGTTTGCTTATAACATTTACATAAACGTTGAAAAGAAATGAAAAAAAAAAAATCTTTTAGATTTTGATTTAAGTTTGCGTGTTAAGTTTCTTGAAACCATTTTGTAAGTGCGAATTTTTCCTTTTTCATCTGATTTTCATTGTTTTTCTTTTTTGTTGTTTTTTTTTCTACATGTTTTTTCTGTGTTTTCGCTTGATTTGTTTCCATTTCATAAACGGCTGCTAAACAATTACGTTTTCTCTTTTCTACATTTTGAAAAATTTTACACCATTTCCCTTTACAGTCTGTTCTTTAAGAAAATTTTCTTATTTGCATAGTGAGTGCTGTTGCTTTTGCCTTTGCTTTCAGTTTATCAAGCTGAAGTGCATTTTCTGTTATTTTATTAGCGCTGCGTCTCTGATTGTTTCTCTGTCTGTCAGGGTATGTTGTTGTGAAATCAAAACCATTACTTATGTATCTCTTTTAAAAAATAAACATTGCTGCTGCTGTATACAGCAAACCACAAAGAGGGGAAAATGTATTGCTAAGCAGAGCATAATATGTGTTTATGAAGTTCATTCTTTAGCTCGGCTCGTCTATTTGTCATAAAAAATTAAAGGCTTTTTCCGTTTTTTATGCGGTTTATAAACAATGACATCAGTCTGTTTTAACTACTGACAGTCTCACGCAACCAACAAGTAATCCATTTATGAGCATTATATGCTTTTAAGATAAGACAAGACGACTAACATTCAAATGACTACGAAACTACCTATGCTTACAAATATTTTTATCCGTAAGTTCTTTCAAATACTTGAATGCTTATTTTTACGCATATAAATCTGAAAAACAGCATAGAATTTCATAGTCCATAGATATTAGTTAGGAATTACTACAGATTCGTCATTAAGTCTTAATACATGAAATATTTTAAAATTTGCATAAGTTCAGTCTCTTCAGTCTTCTTCAGCTATAAAACCGAATTGAGATATAACCATCTGCGTTGTATATATGAAGTAATAGCCTGCTTTGGTAAGCATAAATATCTTAGAAATATCTATTTGCTTTGGCTTACATCTGTGCTTTCTTGTCGTTCTATTTCCATAATTTAACTTATAAAAAGTCAAAGTTTGAACGATGACCACATGTCGTGTAGCCCCACACGACATGCTTACACACGCGCTTCTGTAGCTTGCTTAGCCTAGATTTAGCAACGTAAGGATTTCCATCAGTAATCACTTTTATTAAATTGCAGATGATTTTGTGTTTTCGACCAAACTTCAAGTCGTTCTTCCGGCGCACCTTTTAGAAGCACAACATTTATATTGTACATCAACGTTGGGATCAGTACTAGCTTAATATTTGCCATTATTTCAGTTTTCAATGAAAATAATTTTCGCCCAAAACATTTGCTGATCTCATTTTTTCTCGAGTCTTATTACTTCTTTTCCTTCATATTTTACCCTGAATCATAATCATATTGTACTTTAAATGTATTACAAACTGTTTACACTGTACGATGTGGTGTCGTATTCTTATGTATTTAGAAAATCGGCAGGAAACACAAGTATATTGAATTATTTTGTTAATGTATCTGTTAATGTGCATATAAAATAGAAACTGAAAAAAAAGCTATTGGAAGTTAATTACGAAAATGGTATAAGATAATAAATAAAAACGATAATATAATAAAATTATTAAAAACAATAATATAATAAAAGTCGGGTAATATAAACAAATTACATTTGGGCAAGATTAACCATTAAACATCATACTAAGCCTCGCCTAATTTCGATATCATAGAATACCAAGAATTAATCATTGCAGACGTCTTTATTAAAGCGAACATGTTCCACTTTGATTGACTATTTTTTGCCATCGCTATAGAAATTCTGTGCGATCATTGTAGTCCCCTTTTTGAAGTTAGCTTTCAGCAGAGGCTGAATAAGCGAGAGACTCAACAAGCACAATTTTAAAGTGAGGCTCTCTCAACTTTCGCCGAGTCTTTAAGAAAGTTTACCGTCTGGCATTGTCGCGACAAAAGACGATGCCTTCTCACCTTAGTCGTGGTTAAGAATGTATAACAACTCATGGCAGATATTCGGTTAAGAGTGTTTTCCAGAATCATATAAATATGTAATGTAAAGCGGATTTCAGCACTTTCCGAAAAAAGATTACATATATGATCGCTCGACCAGGTTTTAAAGTTTTGGTTCGATAAGTTTGTTCTTCTTCTTCCGAATTCTAGCTCCTAATAAACATTCTATACATAAGAGAAGCGATTACTCAAATGAATTTAAGAACTATCTCGTTAAAGTTGCTTTTAGATCTTTCGATGGCCGAGTAGACCAGAATAATGACAATCAAGTCGGTGTTCGCAGACGCAAAACCCAATGCGGCACTTGGTCATAGCTGGGGACTCAGTCAGTAAAGGTATAACACTCACGAACTGTGCGCGCGTCCACAAGGCTGCGTTTATTCTCTATCTCTTTCCTTTTTCCCACTTCTCTCTAACCGTCACCGCGTTATTCGTTTAGCGGCCTGAGTGATTGGCCACATTAAAGAGAAAGGCAATTTTATAACCTTAAAGCAATGTAAGTATTGTCTTCCAATTTCTTGCTCTGGAATGTGGGAACGTAAATTTCAATTGTTGAAAGCAAAAAAATGGTTCGTAATGTCGTCTTGTATTTTAGTGAAGCAGGATTACGTTTCGAGTTGGAATTAATAAGATTAAAATTATTTGGATGTTTCTGCTACTCTCTTACAATGAATAATGTATCTAACAACGAATATTGGGCATCGATAGTTCTTTTAATTCTAGTAATCGATAATTCGTTCAATGTGAGGCCAATGGTACTCAATGCAAAAATGCAGGAGAGGATATGGAAGAGAAGCAATATATTGAGTACCATTTGAATTCAGTTCCTGTCAATTTAACGAAGGTTTAAAGTAATAAAGTGTTATATCTTCCCCTAGAGTCAAATAATTGTCGTTGTTTTTTTCTCTAGGTATTTTTTCTCTCAGGTATATTTTGCTTCTGGATGTGATAGCTGGTTGATCAAGAACTGACTTCTTGGCAGAACTGGGTTTTTTAATACCAAGATTAGTACTATTTACAATATCCAACAGTTTCTTTCAAATTATTCTTTTCTTCATTTTCCATTTTTTGTCATTTTCTTACTTTGCATGATAAACGAAATAATGTCGCTTGGAAGTATTGTAGGTTATATTTATTAAGAGCAAACGCCATTTAGGCAATTAGTCGGATACATAAATGAATGCGAGTGTTAGTTTAGTTCACATAGAGTTAAAACAAATTTTTATGTAAACAAAAATTCACACATTATTGCTTTGTTTGCATTAGATCATCTTCGGACTAGTTGCTAAAATATGATGATATATTAATATTACCGTTTACTTTGCAATGCCCGAAGGTTTCAAGTTCTAAGAAATTGTAGATTCTCTTATTCGGCTTCGGGCAATTAAAGGCTCCATGATCAAATCCCCCAAAATCGCTTTAAAATAAATTTAGTGGAAAAATAGCTATTCTTCATTCTTATCTATTCTTGGGAACAGTATTCCGACCTCAGTAGAACAGTCTTCAATGCTGTCAATTTGTTCTCCCTTCTTGTATATATAAGAGTATTATATAGCGAAATGTAACAACACCGGAAAGCTTCCCGCTAAATATCTTTAATTGAAGTGCAAACTTGAATCTAAAAAGAAAAATCATTTAAATCTATCTGTAGTTCTACAGCTAATGAAAAAGTTTAATTCATGAGCAAACAAAAGAAGAAAGATATTTCAGTAATGAACAATGTTTAGTTCAACTTATGCCACTTTCCTCCCACATAGAGATGTTGTAAAAAATTCAGATGAAGAGAATAGAAATTGTTGCGGTTATGTTATTTTTTAGGGAATTGTCTTTCTAGAAAACCACGCTTAAAGTTAAAAAATGTATTGTAGACCAGATCTTTTCTCTTCTTTTTATAACAAGTTCTGTGTTCTGGAAATTCTCTGCGAAGGGCTTTTGCGGCACAGCCGGTCCTCTTAAAGCGTTTGCGAAATAGCTTGGAGTTTCAGAGAAAAAGTTTCGTTCAGGTATTGGATTTTTTCAGCAGAAAAATCTTTAAATCAAAATTTTTATACCCATCACTGTAAGATGGGGTTACTCAAAAGGAACCTTCAGACACCCTGAATTCTGAGTTGATTTAGCTATGTGTCACCGTCTGTATGGTGTATGCTGTTGGCTCCTCTCCTGCTTGCAAAAATGCAGACATCGGTTTCAAATTTGGTAGAAACATTGGAAGTTTCGGTCGGAGCAGAAACGCGTACTGGAGCCTAAATTGAACGCAGGTCTGTTTTTTTAACCAAAAATGTTTAGATTTTTGCTCGTTACACGGAAATTATAAAAGTTGAAAAGCTGAAATTTTCCACATTTAATTTACAAAGCACTCTACTCCTTATGTGCAAAAATGGAAAACATCTGCCCTGCCCACAAAAAGTTACAATTGATTAAATTTTTGTTCTTTTCACTTTTTCGAGGTTTTATGCTTGGTTTTATGTCGTGTATTTTATTTAGATATCCCTGGGTATACATTCAAAAAGTCATTATCTTTCACTATGTATCAACATGAAATCCTGGGAATTATCCCTGGCAATGATATTCCTGTCAAGCATTTTCAGAGTAAATTCTGGATTATATCGAAAACGGATCCATTTTAGTTCTATATCCTTTTATTGGAAAAGCTTTCAAAATTTACGCAAACCTCTCCGCGTTAATGAGAAATGAAATGAAAGGAGAGATGAAAGCGGTATTTCAATAATTGTCTTATTTGAACTGAATTTCTTTCACCAGAAAATGTTCGAAAAGCAGATTGTTTTTGAGATTGCATACAAGGTGAATGAAAAAACTGGACAATTGTTAAAAAACCATATGCATATGAATGTGTGTATGTGTGCTATTCCTAATATTAAGAAAAGTATTTGTTGCGTTGTTTAAAACTTTGTTTCAAATGAAAAGGAAAAATACCACAAATTCATAGTAATTTGAAGGTGCTGATAACAAATTCCTTTATATACATTATTTATCAAATTTCTTCTTTACAAAAAATCAAAATAAAAAAAAAAACAAACGGAATTGAGTGCACATGGCTTCGTATTGTATTTGCTTGAGATGATCGATAAAAGCCTGAATAGTGAAGCTACAACTTAAGATGTGAGTTTAACTTAAAAAGAATATTATTTTTTTTATCACCATTCTCTCTGTCATCATTTCTCTCTCTCTCTTTCTCTCTCTCTCTACTTCTCTTCACAATGGCTTCATAATAATGGATTAAGAAAAATAATTAAAACTTTATATGTTTAGTCTAGACGAGATTCTGGTCGATTACGGACGGGTTAAAGTTGACTGGGGTGCGCTATATAAGTTTAATCTTTATAAACGGTTTACTGATAAATAGTTCAAAAAACTTGGATAAAATATTCCAATATGTACGCGTAAGCAATATAAGGTTTCCGTTTTTTAGTAAAAGAGTCCTAAAGAAGTGATATTATATAATATAACTGTATATATATGTGTGCATATATGTATATAAAATACACAAATGAAAAATTACAGTGAATAGTAGCTGCAGACGAATTTTGAAATTTGTTGATAAGAAATTTGAAAAGAAACCAAAAAGAGTTAAAAAAATTTTCAAACCTAATTTCGTAAATTTCTTAATAGATCTTTAGGCGGTTAATATGGGCGAAATTCTGGTCGGCTACGGACGTGTTGAAGTCTGATAAGATAGTGCATTGTATAAATTTAATCTTTATATATTATTTACTAAGAAGTAGTTCAAAAAACTTGGATAACCTATTTAAATGTGTGTGCGCCTACAATACAAAAATTCCCTTCATCAAAGAAGGTCCGAAAGAGTGACAATATATAACACAAACATATATTACATAAATGAATTATTGTAGTGAATAAATGCAGATGAATTTTGAAATTTGCTGATAAGAAATTTGAAGAGGCACAAATAGCGTTCGGAACAATTTTCAAATTCTATTCCGTAAATTTCTGAATATAACATAAAATACTTTTTATGTGCAAAGCTATATAACTCTTTTAGGATTGAAAAGCAAACTTCACTTGGCGTGTATATATTTTCCTTTTAAGCTGGACAATTTTAAGAACTTATTAGAACATATAAAAAATCAAGAGTTTGTTGCAGATCCACACCTTTCACTTCTAAGTTCGCGAATGATCAAATTTCACTTAAGCAAGTTACAGTAAGTATAAAATGTGTACGTGTCAACATGAGGAACATTAATAAAATTTTAATTCATTTGCAGGTGAAATAACTACGAGTTTGCAACTGAAACAAACCCATCCCCCCTCGGTCGAAATACTAAAAGAAGGTTTTCTATAAATCAGTTTTTTCTTTGTAAATTTACTTTGATAAAAAATAAAAATAAAGGAGGGAACAGTCGCAAAACGAAATTAGAGCATTTCGTTCGCTTTCTTATGTTAATTGTAACCGGAAGCTTATGAACTAGCTCAACGACAATAATCTCAACGACAAATTCATCTTAAGTAAAACAAGCGTACTCAGAATACACTGAGCGTAGAAACGTAACATAATGATTAAATTGTTTTGTGGCGGCACCGCCATTGGCAGTCGCTTCTCCCTTATCACTATAATTAGCTTCATATTTTTATTCAGCTTTATTTATGTATTGCCTATCAACGCGCAGAGGCATGCTGGTCGTCGAGATCGTCCTCGCAATCCACCGCGCACGTACGTAAAAACGCATCCCTGTGAACGTTCATCATGTTACCCAGCCACTGGCAATTTATTAATTGGTCGAGAAAATCGCTTAACAGCCTCATCGACTTGTGGTCTGCATTCACCAGAACGTTTTTGCATACTTTCGCATTTACAAGATAAGAAATGTTTTTTATGTGATACTCGTGAAGAAACTCGTAATGATCCCTATAAAAATCATCGAATTGGTCAGATTATTTACAAAACTAAACCTGGTACGAATATACCCACTTGGTGGCAATCGGAAAATGGTAAAGAGAACGTGTCGATACAACTTGATTTGGAAGCAGAATTTCATTTTACACATTTAATTATGTCGTTCACGACTTTTCGTCCTTCTGCCATGTTCATTGAACGTTCCTTTGATTTCGGTGAAACCTGGCAAGTGTATCGTTATTTTGCTTACGATTGCGCTGACTCCTTTCCAGGCGTGCCGACCATTTTGCGTAATATAAGCGATGTTGTATGTACTTCACGTTACTCGAACGTCGAACCATCACGTAACGGTGAGGTTATTTTCCGCGTTTTGCCTCCTAATATTAACGTCTCCGATCCTTACGCTGCCCATGTTCAAAATATGCTCAAGGTTACTAATCTGCGCGTAATATTTCAAAAATTACATAAACTTGGGGACAACTTGTTAGATAATCGTTTAGAAAATGAAGAGAAATATTACTACGGCATAAATTATATGGTTGTCCGAGGTTCTTGTCAATGTTATGGACATGCATCACAATGTCTGCCTTTGGATACTGCCGAGCACAACGAACTTGATATGGTTCATGGCCGTTGTCAATGCACTCACAACACTCGAGGCTTAAATTGTGAGACTTGTGAGGATTTCTTCAATGATTTGCCTTGGAAACCGGCTTTGGGTAAACAAACTAATGCTTGTAAAAAATGTGAATGTAATGATCATGCTGTCAGTTGTCATTTCGATGAGGCTGTATTTGAAAAATCTGGTCGTATATCGGGCGGTGTATGCGACAATTGCTTACATAATACCATGGGTCAACATTGCGAAGAATGCATGGCATTTTTCTACCGCGATCCGTCGGAGGATATTCGCAGTCCTTACGTCTGTAAACCGTGCGATTGTGACCCGATTGGCTCTTTGGATGAAGGAATTTGCGATTCTGTGAATGATCCAGATAATGGCATAGAAGCTGGCTCTTGTCATTGTAAAACAAATGTTCGTGGCAGACGTTGCGACACTTGTAAAGATGGTTTCTGGAATTTGGATCCTGAAAACCCGGAAGGCTGCGAAGCTTGTAGTTGTCACACTTTGGGTACCGTTGACAATACCGGATGTAATATGTTCACAGGAGAATGTACATGCAAGCGTTTGGTTACTGGAAAGGATTGCAATCAATGTGCTCCGGAAACATTTGGTCTATCTGAATCCGAAGACGGTTGTTTACCATGTGATTGTGATGCGGGCGGTTCTTATGATAACTTCTGCGATGTCATTACTGGGGAATGCCGTTGCCGTCCTCATATGACGGGTCGCGCATGTTCTCTGCCTAAGCAAAATTATTTTATACCTCAGCTTCACATAATACACGAAGCAGAAATTCCTGACTTATGTATTTCTAATGTGAATAATGCCAATTGTTCTACGGTGCCCTTCCAACCTAGCGTGGACCGCACGCCTGATTGGACTGGAATCGGTTTCGTACGGGTACCAGAAAATTCTGAGTTGGTCATTACAGTGAATGATATACCACGGTCAATGCCATACGACGTATTAATACGGTATCAAACAACCTCGCGTGGGGATTGGGAAGACGCTTTTATCACATTGGTTCGTCCGGATGAAGTCGACCCTAAAGGCGATTGCGCGTCTATGGTTCCTTACGGTTCCAGTGCTCGTGAAACTCGGATACCTTTTCTCTTGTCTGATCATGAGAGACAAGTGTTGGCTATGAGAGAAATCTGTCTTGAAGCTGGAAAAGTCTACAAATTCAAAATCCATTTTGAGCGTAGACGGCACAATGAGGATAATCCAACGGCCACCATACTTGTTGATTCTCTGACTCTAATACCGCGTATTGAACTCACAACTGTATTTACCGGTTCACCAATTGCCGACTCCCGTCGCGATGAATATTATCAGATGGGCTGTAATCAATCGTTGTACGATATACGTTACCGACCTTATGCCAGCGAGCGTTGCAAAGAATTAGAAAACTATGTAAGCATGGTTATATACGATGGCGCAAGCATGTGTAATTGCAATCCAACTGGTTCACTCAGTAAAGAATGCGACGCTCATGGTGGCTTCTGTCAATGCAAACCTAACGTTGTGGGACGTCAGTGCGACCAATGTGCACCAGGCACGTACGGTTTTGGCCCAGAAGGCTGCAAGGCTTGCGACTGTAATAGTATAGGTTCTAGAGACAATAATTGTGATGTAGTAACAGGCCAGTGTGCTTGCCATCCCAATACATACGGCCGCGAGTGTGATCAATGTCAACCAGGTTTTTGGAATTTTCCAAACTGTCAAGCCTGTGAATGTAACGGCCATGCTCAGCAATGCGATGCCCGAACAGGGCAATGCTTAAACTGCATGGATTTCACCACAGGTTATGCATGCGATGCCTGTTTAAATGGTTACTATGGTAACCCATTTTTGGGTAGTGAAATTGGTTGTCGTGCTTGTCGATGCCCGGACACTATGGCCAGTGGTAACGCTCATGCGGACGGCTGCTCTTTAGATTTGCGCAATAACAATATGATCTGTCATTGCCAAGAAGGCTACGATGGATCACGCTGCGATGTATGCGCTGACAACTACTTTGGCGACGCCGAAGAACCAGGGGGATCTTGCCAAAAATGTAACTGCAGCAACAATATCGATATTTATGATACCGGTAACTGCGATCGTCGTATGGGGAATTGTATAAAATGTTTGTACGACACTACTGGTGATCATTGCGAGTTGTGCCGTGATGGATATTTCGGCGACGCTTTGCAACAAAATTGCGTTCCTTGCGATTGCGACTTCCTGGGTACAAATAAAACCATACAATATTGTAACCGTTTTAGCGGGCAATGCCCTTGCTTGCCCAATGTAATGGGTCTTCGTTGCGATGAATGCGCTGAGAATCATTGGAAGATTGCTTCCGGAGAGGGATGTGAAGCTTGCGAGTGTGATCCGATTGGCGCTCTGTCGGAGCAGTGTAATCGTTATGATGGTCAATGTGATTGTAAGTCTGGTTTCGGAGGTCGGGCTTGTAATCAATGTCAAACTAATTACTGGGGTAATCCCAACGAAAAGTGTCAACCTTGCGATTGCGATCCCTATGGCTCAGCCGATTTCCAGTGTGATCGAGAGACTGGCCAATGTGTTTGTCATGAAGGCATCGGAGGTTACAAATGCAACGAATGTGCCCGCGGTTATTTGGGTGAATCTCCTCACTGTATGCCATGCGGTGAATGCTTCAGTAATTGGGATTTGATACTTAAAGAGCTCGAAGAAGCTAGTATGCATGCAATACAGCGTGCAAAAGAGATAAAGTTGATCGGAGCTACTGGAGCATATACAGCTGAATTCAACGCGTTGGATACGAAATTGCAAAATATAAGAAACTTATTGCAAAATACTTCTGTTAGCTTGCAGGATATGGACACCTTGGACAGTGAAGTTAGCGAACTAAAACGCAAATTAAGCGCAGCTCACCAAAAGCTGATTGATACTGAAAGCAATTTGGATAGCATTTATTCGTCGCTTAGTTTGTCAGCCGCGGAGCTGGAAACTTTACAGAACCAATCGGCTTTGGTCAAAAAATTATCGCAAGAGTTAAAAGAGAATGGCATACAACTGCAAGAATCCAATATTGAAGGTGCTTTGAATTTGACACGAAATGCCTACGATCGAGTTTTAGACTTAACGAATGTAAAAAACGAAGCGGAGGATTTTGCTGCTAGTACTGATCGCAACTGCAAACGAGTCGAAACTTTAGCAAACAAAATGAAAGACGAGTCTTCCGCGGTAACGGCGAACGATGATCTCATCGATCAGTATCGCTCAGAGCTTTCTGCGTTGACTGCCATGATACCAGAATTGAATAATGAGGTTTGCGATCGTAAGGGTGATCCTTGCGACAACATTTGTGGTGGCGCCGGATGTGGCACTTGCGGTGGTCTTTCTTGCGAACGCGGCGCTTTGACACGGACTGAGAAAGCTCTTAAAGTCGCTAAGGATACCGAATTGGAAATTAAAGAAAAAAAGGATCAGGCTGATCAAACTATTAGATCTCTATTTCAAGCAAAAGTAAACGCTTCTGATGCCTACCAAAAGGCTAAGGATGCGCACGAGGATGCCGAAACCTATTTGAATCGCACCGAATTGAACAAGAAGCGAGGTGAAGATATGATACAAAACTTAACGGAATTTTTAGAAAATAATGTAGCTTTGCCCACCGAAACTAAAGAGCTAGCTCAGAAAACTCTAACCTTAGACTTGACCTTAGATCCACTGGAAATACAAACGTTAGGAGGCAAAATTAATGATGCTGTATCTTCATTGAAAAATGTGGAAGGTATTATTTATAATACACGATCTGATCTGGCCAGAGTTAACGAATTGCAAGCGAAGGCGAATGCTACTAAGGAAACAGCTAACGAAATCCTTGGTACCGCCAATACAGTGGTAGAAAATCTTAATGATGCCGACTTATCACAGGGAAAAGCCCAAGAAGCGATACTGGAAGCTAATAGTAATATAGAGCTCGCAGCGAAGGATTTAGATCAAATTGACGCTGAAACCAGCCAAGCGGAAGCACCTGCTAACATAACGGCGCAACAAGTGGAGGAATTGGCGAAAAAAGTCAATTACCTGCAAAAGAATATTCTGAAAAATGAATTAGATGCTAAAGACGTGAAAAATGAGGCAGATAGTGTGAAGTTACTGTCGCAAAATGCTCATTCCGATGCTTTAAAATTGCAATACTCCTCGAGTGCAGCCAATGAAACGCTTACCAATCGTGCCCGGCAATCGGAAAGTGCACGAGAACGAGCCAAACAATTACTGCAGAGAGCTTCTAAATTAACGGTAGATACCAAGGAAAAATTAAGGGAATTGAAATTTATGCACGAAACATACGATGAGAAAAACGATAAATTGCAACAATTGCAAGAGGCTTTAAAACCTCTCCACGAGGAGTTAGCTCAACATCTAAAGAATATACAAATGAATGCTGATCGTTATCGACAATGTTCGTCCTAAAAACTCATTTAGTTTATTATTATCATAATTTTTTGATATAGAAATCCTCACAACGACCTTTCTTAGCATTTATAAATGTATCAAAGATTCAGCCTATAATGCATTTTTCGAGCAGTTGTTTATTTGAAAAAGAAAAGAATGCCATTCATAATCTAATGCTTTAAGTACGTACATAGGTATATATATCTGCCATAAAAGCCATAACTAAACAAAAAAATTATATTTTAAAAGAAACTTTTACCTAATTCAAGCCAATTTATATATATTTGTAATTAGATTTTACATTTAAGAGCATCCAATAATTTTTAACCTTTTTTTTGTTTGATTCGATCTAAAGGAGACGTTTTCTCAATTTTATAGTGATTTATGAATTTTATTTTTTCATTGTGTTTAAACGTGTAATAATTTAATTGCCACAGAATAACTAAGTATATTAAAGTGTATAAAAACAATTTAAAAAAGCATTTTATTTTTATTCAAGCAACTTTAATACCGCAACATGTGTCCAAATTGCGCCGTTCATGTTTTACTGTATGTTCGAGCGGCCACGACTTTTTCCCCGGCAAGTGGGAGGACCTTGAATTTTATAAAAATTCTAATGAATATGTCAGCCAATTTTCACATCGTTAGCCATTGACGACACGAAACCGAATTTATAAAGACAATTATAACTTTCTTCAACTTCGACTTTTTAATTACCATGAATAGTTTCATAAGACACATGGACTTCGTCAAAAAAAAAAAAAATGAAATAAATAAACCGCAATACGCATTTTTTGATATACCAAACCACAAGCAACTCAGCTGGAAGAAGCCTTTTTCATGGCTAACCCTTCTGCCAAAATATCCTAAACCTAAATTTGTTTGAGGCTCAGATAGTGCAAACTGTGCTTCGAAAGGGTAACTGATGTAAGTTTGTGGGCCCTTTAGTGTGTCTGCGCACTCGCAAAAGTTAAGATAACGTTTCAAATTTGGTAAAACCGTTGGATATTCTTGCATGGAATGCATGAAATGGAAAATAATTGTCACAATTTCCTAATACAGGGCTTCGGCAGAACTGAAGGAAGTGGGTAAAGTGAATCAAATGTTACAGACGAAGTATCCGACAATTACTCGTAAGAACAACACATTAATCATTTTTAATATTTTGTAGAGTTAAATAATTTAAAAGCTGTGTTAAGGGTAGAGAAATAGAACAACTCATTGCCTTCTTGTAAAAAGCGCAGTTCCCTTTACTAAGAAGGAAAGAAATTGATTAGAAAGCATCATATGAAACTGGCTTACAATTTCATTAAATTAGTAGGAAGAATACCATTCGCAGTCGAAAACGAGCCACTGTTCTTCTTACCAAACTCGTTGCTCGCAAAAAGAAGCAAAGTCCATTCATATCTTCTGAAAAAGTCTTCAAAGAAACCGATGCAAGAATGCATCCGTGCAGTCGTGTAGAAAGGACGACTAAGAAGACGCACATAAATCATAAGCTTCTTTTTATAGATATATAATTAAAAATGAGTCCCTTATATAAAACTTTAGTATGCACAATTGCTACCTACTTGCTAGAGATCATACGATTGTTTGCAACGCGGTGACAAAGGTAAAGTTAAGGGAATTAGAGCAGATAGCAGAACGTTTTTGCACCGACCTAAAAACAAGAAAAGCATATATAGTACAATACCAAGAAAGCAATGAGTTCGCGGTGTTGGCTAAAGTTCACTGGAAGAATAGAGGGCAAAGTTGACAGAATCCATTATTAAGACATGTCAAAAAGTAACATGGAGCTATAGTCTTGCTACTGGACAGCTTCTACTGATGCTCGAAGTATTTAGTAATGGTCATAAATGACTGATCTGCTCAAGAAAATACCACAATTTTGGTACAACTAACGCATATACCGTTAAGATAAAGATTGGAGAAAAAACAACCATAAACTTTTCCAAAATATTAAGGGGTTATTGATGTTCTACATTGACGGAAGATGGTCGAAGGCTCAAGTCGACGCGAACAGACATCTGGTGTACAGTGAAATAGTTACCTTTTGACTATTATCACAGCTTATCTCAAATTTTGTTAAAAGAAAAATATTGCGCTACTTCTACGACCAACAATTTCAATACCTTTAAGATCGTTTTAAATTTATGAATACTTTTGATTCAATTAACGGCATATTTCTAAATTTCTTACCCATTTGTAAGAAATGATGTTCTAAATATATTTTTTAAAAATTTCTTAACAAATCTTAATGATTATTGTCATCACAAAATAACACTTCACTCAATAAGTTCGTAGGTTCAAAGCCTTTTTTGGGAATTTCACACTAATATACTATCTATTATGTTACTATTAATCTTTTGCCCCTTTTCGGTATAGTCGATGAACAATATTTTTAGCGCATGGACGCCATAGCCTACTTTAGAGGTTTTATTCGTTGTTCATTGGTCACTCGGCAGAAAGCAACATTTAATCAACAAACGAAATTAAGTGTCTTGTAAGTAGCTTCGCCAGAACTGTAGTAGTAACTGGTGAATTCGGGGTAGGAATATTTTAAAACTTTGAAAAATTTCATATTATCTAAACATCCTATGAATTCGCGAACAATAGCGACATCTACATGACATCCAGCGGATTTATTGAGTATCATGGTATAATGTATTCACCGGTTCATGGCTGCATTTATTACCCATGGCACTCTTTATATTTTGAGACTTGGGAATACCTAGTGTTACTACCGTTATCATCTGACGTTCCTATCGGAAGATTTTACATGTATAACTTTAACTTGCTTCGGAGCATTTCATAATTTGAGAGTGTTTTTTGCTGTTTATACCGATTTCCGTCGACTGAAAACTCCTGTTCATGCTTTTAAAAGCCATGTTTTATAGTCGTCCCAAGTGGAATGGAAGAAATCGTATTACGAATCGTTGGAACGTATGTAAAAGATCATAGGATCATAAAAGAGACTATTTTAAGAAACAGTAAAGCAATTTTTCATAGCAATTCACTCTTTGGCGGAGTGGATAGAAATCCCGACTATGAAGTCACTGTTCGTGGGCTCAAATATTAAGTGCGGTAAAGTTCACCTTGGTCGTATCTACGGTGAGTGCTCAGATGATAAAGGCATAACATCCTTTAGGTTGCATCCCTCGCTTCCCTAAATATTTCCTTCTCCTTTCTCTTTTCTTTCCGCCGGGCACTTGTTAGTTAATGAACAGTGTTGTATTACAGACACTGTAAAAATTCAAGCAAAAAGAATGAAAAATTTGTAAGAGTTACACTGCGTAGCAAATATATTTTAATTTTTTGCCACGCCCATAACGCTTTTATGACATTTATGAGTGTTTAAGGGATAATTTAGGGCAACAATAAAAAAAACTGATTGCTTGAAAAATTTGCATTGATTTTCTCTCCTAATAAATCCTTATATTTGTTTTCATAAAGCGTTTTCTGCGTTCCTGGCTGCAAGTGTTCAAGCTGTCACGTCTCTATCTCAGAGAAAGCGAAATAAGTGCTGGACCAACATCTTTCTTCATCTTAATAGAAAGCATTCAACAGCAAAATGGGCAAAGAAAAAAAAGAAAGGAAATCAAAAGGCAATAAAAGCCCCGCGGACGTGTTCGCATATTATAAAAACTTTACCAGGAAACTGCGAATGGATTTACATAAATCTGTCGCTCACCTTACGCAATATAAAGCGTTGCGTATGGAGGACGCAGACACTATACAAGATTTGAATGACAAGTACAACTTAACTTAAGAAATGAATTAATCTGTTCTTCATATCTTAAATATGGCTTTTTGTAGACTAAGGGAACGCGATGAGAAAATTAAAAAAATCAACGAAGAAGTCATTGGTTTGAAACAAGCTAATGGGAAGGCAAAGGAGGATGCACGAACGTTTCGTGAAACATACTATAAACTAGAGCTGAGCTACGATGAAAATATTACGCTATTAAAAAAACAAATTGAAAAATTATCCCAAGAGATATTAAAAATGAACGTCGAAAAAAATAAGCAAATTGCTGAAGTAGATATTAAAGGATAAGAATTTAATAAAAAATGTTTGAAAATTCTGTCTTTCAGATAACTCAGCGCTGCGATGGCTTGCAGCAGCAATGTGCTGAAGAAGTCCAGGCTTGTGAAAACCTAAATAAAGAGTACAATAGCGCGATGATAGACATAAATGAATTAAAACTGCAGCTTGTCGAAAATAAAAAAGATTTTGAAGAGTTCAAAAAGGCAAAAGAATTAGAAGCGGAAGCTCTCAATAAGAACTTTGAGGTAACGGCTTTTAAAATTTGGTTTTTAAGTTTAATTCTAAAATATTTCACTTTTTAAATCAGGATCAGTTGAAAAACCTACAGGAGGAATTGCAAAAAAAAGAGTTGGACGTACAAAGGGCCGTTAACGATAAAGAAAATATGGAGAAGGAAAAAGATGTGAATTTAATGCACTGCACTTACGTTAAATCAAATATTGAAGAAATTCTTTATATTTATAGCACATTATTGCACTGTTGCAATATAGAGTTCGGGAGATTAAAAGAGTTTTTTGTCAACCGGCGTTGCTCGTGCAACCCCGTATTTCCAACAAGGGCAATAATGAAATACAAAATCCTGAACAGGTAATAATGTATTCTTTCTTAAAAAATAAATTCGCAGACAAGACAAAAGCATGTCGCGAAATTACGTTTGTTGCTTTTATGAAACTAAAAAAGGCTTTGATTCAACAAGTAAGATAAGAATATAAATTTCACTGCGTGGAATTCAAAACGTAGTAGTGAATCTTCCCAGATTAGTATAATATATAATTTTTTACAAATTTTTCTCAATTTTCATACCCATCATCGATGGATGAGGGCTATATTCATTTTGTCAAAAAGTTTGCAACGCCCAGAAGGAAGCTTCAAAGACCTCACAAAGTATATATATATTATTGATCAGCATCAAATTCTAAACCGATTTAAGCATGTGCGTCTGTCCGTCTGTCCGTCTGTAAACATTTTCCTGGATGCAAAAATGAAGCTATCGACTCCAAACTTGGTGGAAACATTAGAAGTTCTTGCATGCAGGTTGGTATTGAAAATGAACCAAAGCAGCCGAAGTGCACGCCCGCTGCACCACGTAAACTGAGAGCACTTCTATTTTTCAAAGGGAATGAAAAATTGACTTTTGTTCATTACTCATAAACTATAACAAATAAATGTACAAAACTTTGAATGCATTTTCTATGGGCGCACAAAAATGGAAAAAATTGACCACTACCCAATATTATAGTCTCTTAAACTTTAATTTAAACCTCATAAAGTATACAAATTCTTGGCCAGCTTCAAATTTGGGATACACCTAAGCATGTCCGCCTCTTCATCTGCCCACCTGTCTACTTGCGCAACTCTGCAGTATTTGTGGTAAACATTCACTTGTTAGCGACAATGAGAATATCGTCTACAAATTTGCAAAAATGTTTGGAATTGACCTTAACTTTTCAAGGAACACGCCTACAACGCCCACATGCCTTTACGACAAAAACTTTTATTTTAAAAATAGAAGAAACCAGCTGCGCCCACTTCATATTGTAGAGAGAGAAAAAAAGTTCTTTTGTGTTTTTTTGGGGTAAACGGTGATGGGTATAAAAGATTCGATCCACCCCGAATCTAACTTTCTTAGTTTTTTTTTTTTTTTTTTTTTTTGTGTGAGATGTTGAAGTGTTTTAGACTAGGCCCCTAAAACGTAACACTATTTTCTACAGCTAAACGCAAACTACTGAATGTCAATAGAGGATTTCAATTGATTTTTTTTTTGCTTTCTTGTGTATATTTTTCCTTTAAATTCTGTTATTACTTCATTTTCAGTTTTTTCTAACCAATGCATTTACTCTACCATATCGTTTGTGTGGTATATACCAGCAACAAAGACTGATTTAAGCTTCCTATTTAATTCAATTTAATTTTTTTTGTTATATGATGTGATGTTTTCGAATTATCCGAAACCTATTAATATGATAATGGAGCGTTATAAAGAATTTCAATTAGCAATGAAAAAAAAAAATAATAGAAGTTAAAAAAAATGGTCCCCAGTCTTTCCACTTTCTTCTCACATAATTTGTCGTCTTTTTCCCTCGTAATGTAGGAAAAATTAGATCTTGTAGCGTTAGAAAGATTAACATTTTATGAAAAGGCCGACAACGGAGAGTAAAAATTTTCTTTGGAAAATATTGAAATTAAGATTCATGGATTATGAATTTGAATAATATTTTGTTATAAGTTCCTTCTGCACAGTTTTTTTTTTTCGTTTACAGACTGCTGACGAAAATATTGCTATAACCAAGCCGATGGTTTATTCATCATCATCTTCAGATGAAGAAGTTCCTTTACAAAATTTGGTTCAAAGTAGGCAAAATACCGATTTGGTTCCAACTTCTAATGAGCAACCAGAATGCAAAAGGATCCGTAAACGTTCTTCAAAGCGTTTTGAGGAACCGCGTAATCGTTCACCGTCGTTCCTTAGATCGAATTCTAACGAGGAAGGTGACTTTTCGAGCTTGGATGAATGGGAACCAAGTGTTAAACGCGTTAAAAAAGTTAGTAATTTAATGAAAATAAAAATTCTATATTTACATATATTTATATGGATTTACAGGAAGTGACTTTATCGAAAACTACTTCAGATGCTTTTGATAAACTAAAGCTTTTTTGAAGTTCTTTTTATTCGTGAACCGTTTCCTTGTGAAACGTAACACATTGCTGTTACATGAATTTAAAATATATTTTTTGTTTATAAATTGAACTGTTTTGCCTTTAAACTAAGCTTACACAATGAATATGTGGAATAAAGAGTAAAGCTTTATTATATATTTTGTAAGTTTTGTTAAATCAAAAATTCAAAAATTCCTTTCCATTCATTGATTCAACTTTTATAATTATTTCCAAAACGTGTCCCTTACGCGCGCAATCGATTCTTTGAATATGATTGGGATGACCAATGCAAGAACGTCGCCCGCGATAAGTACGCCAATTGTCAGTTATAACTGTAATGTGCGATTCGAGTTTTAGTAACCGTGTATTTGCAGATTTGCAAATATTTGCAGAAATTTGCGAATGTTTGTATTTTTTGTTGAGACAAAGTTCTGAAATTGGGGAGATCATAAATGCTTTGAAATAATTGAAAAATATCAACAGAACGGACTATTTGCGATATTGTCATCCTTCAACTGCTACCACAACTTTCGATAAAATATTGAAAAAATAGTGATATGATAAACATTTCAATTCGTCAAGAAAAGAAGTTTTTTTTGAATGCCGCAAAGGCACTGTAAAGCTTGTAGATCGCAGGTAATCTTTGGCAGGAAATCACTGTAAATGGGCATTTCCACAAAAAGTCCTACCATTTTCGGAAATGCATATCCCATGTAGCCAATTTGCGATACGAGAACATAACACATTTAACCCGATTCTTAACACGATCTGGTGATGACGCCACATGAATGGGTTTACACTTTAGTCACTTTTCTTTTGCCAAAATTATCATTAGTATCTCAGACATTCTTAAATAATTCAGCACTTTATTCTTATACAAAAAATTCGAAATCATACTCTTAAGAGAAGAACAGAATTAGCACAAAACGAACATTTTTTTAAATTTTCAAATTCTTAATTAATTAATTCCGTTGAAGAAACTCTTTTTTACTTTGCTCTGCCAATCACTAGCTACAGTACTGTTTTGTAAATCCAATAAATTATATCTTGCTTGATTTGTCATTTCCAACATGAGTCCTCATAGCCCTAAAATGACGCAAAACTGATTCAACTTTCATATTCCGTCGTTAGTTTCATATTGAATTTCCAAAGTTACTCTCTATCTAAGGATTTTCTCACATATATACTCGACTCTCAATGTTAGATACCCAACCAAGCCTCACCTTTCTTTGGAACTTATAAGAAAGACAGCAGACTTTTATGCCTAGCATCGTGTGATAATGGTCACATGAAAATTACTCGTCGCATTTAATTGAGATCTCTTTTGAACTGTGCGCGTGTATGTGAATTATTTACAGTTGATAAAATATAAACTCATATTATTTTCTTTTTAATGAAAAATTATCGTTTGTTTATCGACAGATTACAACTAAAAATGACTTTTTTTTCTTTTTTGATATATAAACCTAATAGTAAAGTGGTGTAGTAGCAGGAACCTTTCTTTTTTTTTTTTGAATAGGATAAGGTTGCTTCTCTTATTCGGTTTGAATATTGTTAACGAAAAAACTAGAACACCGAACGTTTTGCTCTTGTTTCGTGGTTCAAAAATTTGTTTATTTTAAATTTAAGCTACCTTTCCCAGACCCTTCGTAAATGGGATTTGAGAATGTATGATAAACTTTTATCATATCCCGCCAAAATTAGAGTATAACTCGCATCGTGTAACGCATATAGCGAAAAGCTCAGACTCACATAGGCGACGAAAGTGTGTCCAAAACTTTCGACATCCTCGAGCATAGAAGTAATGTGTGCTTTATTGCTAATATGTACAGGTACATTCAGGGCAAGTATTTTACAGAGCTAAAAGGCATTTGTCCACCAATTAATTCCTTCAACAGGACTACGCGCCTTTCCCAGCGTTCTCATCCACTTGTCTTCAAGTTACCTACATAAGGCACTACACCCTACCGTGGCTCGTCCTTATTTAATCGCCTTTGGAATCGCCTATTAACATTGGTTTTTCCTATCGTACTTGATGTCTCCATTACCAAGACGGACGTTCACAAATCTTACCTCCTTTCTCTACACCCCTCTGCGTATTGCGCGTATGGAGAAGATTCCCCAGCTAGTAGCTAGTCATAGAAAAAAAAAGAAAACAAAGTTATTCCTTCTTATGTTTGGTAATGCTTTTGTTGTGCATCTGCTTTTAGAAGACGTAGCGCCCATGAAGCGGATTCTTTTCTAGTAACTTTCGCAAATTTTCTCTGTTCAAGTGATCAAGTGGTTATATTATACCATAGGTCCTTTAATTGCTTTCGGTTTGTAAAAGATAAAAACCCGCATTAACCGCAGAAAGTAAAGTTATTAGCTCATCTTCCCTTTAACCTGTGATAACCAGCGAAACCAGCGATACCTTCTGTCCTCCTCCAGCTAATCTTCGAGTCGAAAGAAAACTGCATCATTTTTAAGGATAATGTAATACTTTGCTTAGTGTCATCTCAAAAAACTTGATGCTTACTACATACCTTTCAACTTTGTTTGACAACATTTTCTCGTGGCTTTCGCATAAAGTCAACATACTCTTGTCGCCGAATAGATGAAAAGATGTTACGATACGCTGTTCGAAATGGCTGTGGTCGCTAAATGTTGTGCATCGTCGTCACCTTTCGCGTCCTGCATATTACAGCACAATACTCTTATTGACCAAGATCGAAACACTTGATTGGCAAATTATTTTTTCTTTCGGGGTATATTACTTTTGTTTTCAACTTCAGCATAGCATTCTTGCTTTCATTAAATTTTGATAAAATATGGTACACTGGCCTGTTTTGGCCCAAGGACGAAACCATTTCAAAATTGATTGCATCACATCATTTTCATGATCACTGCCTAAAATTACGCTTTATACGACGAAGATCACTAGTCACTGAAGCAACTTTTAATGCTCGAGCTGTAGTAGTTTAATTTCCGATTACATTACTAATAAATTTCGATAGACAACACCATGCTACACAATTACATTATATTGCAAAAGGCACATGAATAAATGAAATAGTTATTAGTCCATTGAAGTAAAGTCAGTGACTTAGCTATCAAAGTTAATAAAGGATATTTGGAACCTTTTCGAGACCTTGATGACGTCTTGATTTTTATATGAAACAAGTTTTATATTTTAAACTATTTCAAATTGGTGACATCAGCAATCAGCTATTAATCTAAAACTTATTGCGACCAATCACATTTGATGCTCCGATCTTGATGACCTGCACGCTAGTGATGAAGTAAAATGCTTCAGCAGAAATTACTTAAACATATTAAGGCTAAAAAGACGATGCATATCGGGCCTGTCCGTCATAAAGACACATTACAAAAGCTCTTAATGAGTTCTTAACATCTGAAGTCAAAAATGATATAAGCATATATTTGTTACAATCAAAGTATTATGTTATATTATTGGTTTTCTTCTTTCAATTTTATTCCTTACAAAGGCCCTATAGCGCACCTTATCGGTATAGTTTACCTAATTCCATTCTATTTCCCTTTAAATCATTGAGTTTTTATAATTTTCATAATATTCTTTACACACTTTAAGTTAAGCAAATTAAAGAGAGAGCAAATGTTGCTATAGAAACAATAATAAACTATTCGTATGTGTTTGTATTTGAAAGAAAAATTCAAAACTAAACAAATCAAAATTTTGTTCATGATTCGTAGTTTTTCTTCTTTCATATACACACACGAACATTAGATACCCGTTACTTGTGGCTTGAAAAAAGAAAAAAAAAAAAAAAAAAAAAAAAAAAGAGTATAGAACGAAAAGAGAGAGACAGGGAGATAGGAAAAGAGAGAGAGAGAGAGAGAGAGAAAGATAGAAAGAAAGCTCTCTATGCCTTAGCCCTTGCACTTAGCCCTTAGCCACCAAATACAAGGGAGGAATTTAATAGAATACTAGGGCGTATTAGTAGTAACGGTTACAAAATAAAATATCACAAACATTTACCAGCCAAGTACATATAAAAACTTAATCTAAATATTAATTATCTTGTCAGTTACTTGTGCATCGCGTCTCTGAAATATTTTTAATGAAAATTTGCAAATACCATATTTGCCTGCCTCTGCCTGTTAAGGCAGGTTTAAATAAATAAATAAATATTTATCGGTCTCATGTGGGCGCGCGTATGTGTGTTTGTGTGCTTGTGTATAAAACGCAAACTATTATAGAAAAAGAGCGAAAGAAATTTTTCTAAAAAAAAAAAAAAATGGAAAAGAAAACAAAAAAAAAATTTGTTTAGTGAGACTTTTAGTTCAAAGAGACCAATAATACACATTTGGAACGCTTGAAAACTCATAGCGACACTTAAAATTGTCGCGGATAATAATAACAATAATGAAAAAAAAAGAAAAGTTAAATAATTATTCATTAACGAATACGTTTTCAGTTTGCTTTCAGCAAACAGTGCAAACAATCTGAAATATTTTTGGTACAATTTTAATAAAAAAAAAAACAACAAAAAAGAAAAGTAAATTAACAAAGAAACCTACAAACATTTTACTAGAAATGTGAAAACAGTTTATTAAAAAAAAGAAAGGAAAATCAATTAAATTTTAAAACCATGTAATTAAAAGAGAAAAATCTGTGATTTTAGTTTAATAACTTCATGCAAAAAACAAACAAAAAAAAAGACACAAAACAGTATTATTGTATTAATTTAAGGATAAATGAGAAAAAATATTATAATTAATAATAATACGAATACAAAAACAAATAATAATCATAACATAATAGTAAAATGGATCATCATCATCAGTTTAAACGTTCTCTAAAGCGTTCCATTAGTTTAAACACTGGTAATTAGTATTAATATTATTATTATTATTATTATTATTGTTGTTGCTACTAATAAAATATTTAAAAATTTATATAATTTTATGGCCCTTTAGCGCATTTTTAATAATTTTGTTAGTTTTCCTTTTTGTTTATATAGATGATTTTTTCCTTTTTTTTTCTTGTTTTCTTGTTTTCTATTCTGTTTTGTTTTCTAATTATTTGCAATTTATTGCCAAAAATTT